CCCTTTATATGCTTTCTGTTCTTACCTAATGATTAGCTGGTAGAGAATATCATATGGTATTAAGCTCTCCACATGTATATTAATACTTTATTGCGCAATAAAGAATTAATAAATAAATATACATATTTGAAAAAATTTCTAAATTATAAAAATATTCAACATTGAAAGTTATATTGATGTTCTACGAAACAAAGTGTGGTCCCATTATTTGGCCAATATTAAAGTAATTTTTTTACGCTGGAATAATCACATTCAATTATCAAATTCAATTGGACTACATTTTCTCTTTATGGTATATTAATATACATAAAATAAATATGCAGTTAAATTGAAATACTTGTTTTTCAAGTTAGTGAAAAATAGTGTCGTGAAATGCAAAGCTGTCGTGATTTTCACTTACGAAACGAGCATTCACACCGACGTAGATATACTTATATAGTTTAACTAACAAGGGGCTGTTAATTTAAATTTAGTATCTTAGCTCGCGTAATGAACGGAGATGATTGTTATAATGGGATTGTAGATGCAGTCGACTAGTTGATATTAGCGTCTGTGTAGTGCCGACTTCATTAACTGGGGGCTACGAAATTGAAGTTTTGATATGTACAAACATTGTAAATGTACGGCACTCGTCAAGAACAGATTTAATATTCTATATCTACTAGTAATATAGAGAATCTACTTTTTATTAAATTACACTGACTGAACTCAACTTACCAATACGATAAAATAAAACTAGTGAAATTTCTAAAAGGCTTTCTATATTTAACTTAGAATGGCACCATAGAAAAAGTTAATAATCGTCGCCTATAGACATGAACAATACTGTAGAGATTTTGATATTTTCATGTTTCTATGAATGTTTCTATGTTGTGTATTTTTTTTTAATCGAAAATGTTTAGTTCTTTCTTGTTTCTCTAATTTTATCATTGGTGAGAATAATTTTATATGTAAATAAATTTTAGCTTATTCACTCTAAAATTCTAATAAACGTATCAGTCAGGATTAATTTATCAATAATTCTTTTAACCAAAACATGTTAAAGTTACTTTAAGATTGAATTTTATATATGCAAATGTCTTGTACTACTTTCATTACTAACGTAACCGTGGTTGCCAATCCGTCTGCCAAGTATGGCAACTATTAGCAAAACTCCCGTTATAGGGGAGGCCTAAGTTCAGCAGTGGACAGTTAATGACTGGTGATCTGTAACACAGGTTTATCCTACTTCAGACACCAATTCCTCACAATACATTAACTTATGTAACCTCCAAAAATAAATGTAAAAAAAAAATGACTGGTATAAAAGAAACTTCCACTACTTATAAAGATATGTTCTAAAGTCTAACAATTACCAATATACTTTTAGATGATTGATTTTACTTAGCAACAATCTATTAAAGTCAGGGCCATATAGCATATGATTTCTTAATTAATACAACCACTCGTCTCCCTTACAATAAAGAGAAGCATTCCGAATTACAATCTATAAAAGCAGCCAATGTCTCGCGTCGCATGCAAATTTATGTGACGCAATTTTTAATTACTACGACGTCTGAGCATCTGTCTGGAGGATGGTGGCTGAGCTCATGCTCAAGCCGCCGAGCCACACAGGTGACAACGCCGCGAGGCGTCGGGGAGCGGTTAAGTGCGGCATTTTATGGCTTTTATGCATATTTGATGGCGCCGCCATAATCTCTGCGGCTGAGGGGAGTCTTGCGAGTCGCACCTTCACCTGTATTAGATATGAATTGCTGTTAACATATAGGTATCTATCGATGGACTTAATTCGTGTATATATTATTTTTGTTAATAATATAACTATAAAACAGAATTAGTTATGAATTTGGCATGCACTTACTGTCAAAGAAGTATATAGGCTATTTTTATCTCGATAAAAAAATATTTTTTTAATTATAAAATAATTAATTAAAAAATTGAATTTGAAAATTTATTACTCTTTTTATAAGAGTTCACTTAATGAATCTACAATGACACGATGAACACATATTATTCCCATCGGTTTTACAATTGTCTATCAAATTATGTCGTCGTAAACAGTTTCAATTTGGTTAAATCAAAATATTTAATTAGGAAAGCTTCTTATACATGAAATAAAAACGTTTTCCTTATAAGAAAAGAATATTTTTTTATGCCACTTAGAATGGCAAACAAGCAGACATCTCATCTGATAAGTGATAACCATCACCTAAAGACGTGAACAATATGTGCATAACACAGTATACTATGTCACCCATAACACCATTCATACGTTGTCTTTCCTGAGAACTAAGGTAATATGTCTCTGTACCCTGTAACTTCATTGTATAATATATATAATGTAATAAATGTATATTACAACAAATACTACATTAAACATGCATGCTAACTGTTATATATTTTGCAACACTGTAGTGTATTTGGGACTAAGACAACCAACTAAATTTTTATATCACAACCTTATAGGAGATAAAGAAACCTGAAATATTACATCCATATTTATATATATTCTTTTGTCCCTAATCCCCGTCCATATTAATAAACAAAATACCAAATGAATAATAAACAAATTTGTTATGAAACGTATTCAGTCTGACTAATTTCTCTTCTAAACCAGCTAATCTAAGTTTTGATAAATTGTACAAGTTACAATTATACAAACATGCTGTAACCCAAAATTAATTTGGGACCAGGAAGGTTTAAGTAATCCACCGTTTAAAAGCGAAAGCCGACGAATTGGAAAATAATGACGGACATTAGACGCGTGCTAAGAGGGACGTATCAATTACTACCCTGAGCAAACAGGCATTACGTGCTCAATATTAAAATCAAATTTACGGACCACCCCGTACCATAACCTCGCGTCGGTTTGAGCTATGCTTAATATTGTCCTTTTTTTGTGATTCTAGACAGTTTTAGTTATCTCAAAATATTACAAGGAGTAAATAATTGTCTGTCGTAACGTGACACATGTGATTTTGCATCATAAGTTGTGCCAAAATATGAGAAAAATCTATGTTCAGTAATGGAGGATTAATTAATATTTATAAGTGATTATTCAATAATGTTGTTTAAACATAATGGTTCTTCGTTCTTATTAAAGTTGCCTATTATGTCGTGTGCAAGAACATCTAGCCTTGCAATTTTTCGTGACATATAACCTCTATTGTTGCTGTCAAGTTTTTTGTTATGAAGCTGACTTTGCATCTAATAAATTAATTACATCATATCGTCTAGCTTTTTATTAGATAACTAAGATAAATAATAGCCCAAAACATATGATTATTCAAGAATAATTAAATTTAAATTCACTTGAATTAAAATTCTTTCTTTCGTTCTATACCAAAATACATGGTGACTAGTTAAGCCATTAAAACACCAAGCGGTAACAAACAAAAAAAATTCTCTTTTGCATTTATAGTATTAGTTCATTATATTAATGGTTTTAATAAAGATTGCTTAATAGTTTCACTTTGTATTTCTAACAACTCGTGCAAACAAAAAACCGTCTATATATACAACTTTCTAAATTCAGAACTAAGAAAACCAATAAAATTATAATTTCTAGATAACGTATCATCATAAAACATAAACAAAAACAGAAATTAAGTTCGACCTTCAAGAACACAACTGTGAAAACCGCATCCAATTTTTGCGTTATACTGGATCAGACATACAGATACACGGATAAAATCTCTAAAATTATTGTTTCGTCTTCTATTTTCCTTATTAAAAATCCTCATATTAATTTTTCTTGAATATCTCCCATGTACAGACACAGTCTAGTTACAATTTTATTAGTAAGATATACTCGGTGACTCGTGACAAACCGAATTAAATCATACTTTTATTAATAATTTAAAACCCATAAATGTCCGTCATATCAATATTATCCACACAAAATAAATAGTTTATTGACCAGTGTAACATCAATTAAAATCGCATTTCGTCCTGTAAACACGTAATGTGCTCATTTCCATGAACATACCGTAGTGATACTAAACCACTGCTTACGTAATTACGTTAGGCTTTGTTGCCCTCCCGACTACACTGATTAGCCGCACGACTATTGAAAATAGCTTTAAAACTATAATTATTGTTATTTGATAATCCCTTTCGAACTGTTGTTTTATTTGACCTTCGTAAAATGAAAACGCGACGGATTCTTTGACAACTTTAGTAGTTCAAACTAAAATACAATATTTTAAAACAAAGAAATTAGTAGATTAATTAATTTATTTAATGCTTTCTATAAAGAACAAGTAAACAAAATGTCTTCCTCGTCATACATACAATAAAAACATAATGTTATTGGACATATTCTTAATATTATTTTCTGTATTAGTTTATATTACTTATTAGTCTTTAGACTAAATTGTAAAAGAAAAAAGGTATATTTAAGAACCTTAAATAAAAAAAAACCTGATGCAAGCCATGCTCTTTTTCTATCAGTCTTCTTAATTGAAAATTAAACAACAGAATGTTTTATTTAAAAAAAATTATCAGTAATACCTCCTATTTAAAGCGCTTTAAAAGTGAAATTGTAATACGAGTATAACGTATATTTATTAAATTGAATAAATCTTTTACTGAATTAAATACAATATTATCTTACGAACGTCCATATCACTGGTTATTTGATTAGAATTATTTTGTTTAATTTTGCTACCATTAGTATATGTGTGACTGCCAACACTCGGAGATTAACCAACACTATTACTACCTGAAGTTCCAAACCCTTTCATATTAGCCATCAAGCTCCGACAGTCGAATGGCAGTTGTGGTCAATCTTCGAGTATTGGCAGTCACACTATTACGAGCAGTAACGGAATTAAACAAACTCATACTAGTAGTAACGAAATTAAACAAAATAATTCTAATCAAATAAACAGTTAAATTTATTACTTATTTCCCGTATTATTTATTTCACTAAACATATTTGTTATTACTTTAAAACTTTATGTAGTAAAAATAATAGGTTATTTTAATTGTTGTTTCAGACGCCAGATGATGAGCAGATAACCCATAAACTTTTCCGGCCATCAACTTCAAAAACGTAAGTACAAAGTGAAACTTGTACTCGATATATTAAACATTTTGCTAATTAATCGCTTAAATATAATCACACTTACTTTATTGTTCTATCCACAATCAAAATGTATAATAACATAAAAAAAGTTGGTATATTCAAGAGATTTATAAAAATCACAGCTTTTAACTCTATTCATTTTATACTAATTTAAAATAAATATTTGTTTATTTGTTACATGTTATAACATACTTATGCATATCACAGATAAACCATAAACTACTATTGCTTCGTTCTACCTGAAGAAATCAAACATTGTTCTTAATATACAATGATTTTACCTGAATTTAAATAAAATTTTTGACAGTACAATAACACGGGATACCATTACCTATCTATTAAATATCATAATTGCATGTAGGTATGTGTGCATGAATGAGGTGAAGAGTGATTTAGAATTTATAGGTTGCTATTTTTAATTCTAAAGAGTTTAATAGATTGATGTGTGACTTAGGAAATAACGTAGTAGTTTAAATTTTATGTTTTTATGATTTATTTAATTACTCAGGGAAATTGGCAACAAATTTATTATGTATTTCAAGGTTTTTTTTTTAGTAATTTATTTTAGGTATTTATTTATTTTATGTTTTGACGATTTATTTCTCGTAAAAGAATTCTTTGCTTACTACACACTATTTGAAAAATGGACCCCTGATCCCGCAGTTGTTTAAACTCACTATTATGTTCAATAATAAAGTAGTCAAAGGCATTTGTCGACTGTTACCATTTTTTTATGGATGATAATGAAATGATAACTCCGCCTGCTCTATCAGTATACGCTAGCGTGGCACTAGTGATAGATGATAGGTTAGGATGAACGTAGGTCAGTTGGCCCATCGTAAAGAATTCAGCAAGAAATAACCACATTGGTTTCCAGAGGGGACCACGTGGAGATCGACCTAATAAGGTATATTGCTAGCAATAGAGCTGTTAGAACCCATTACTAACAGTCCTAGAATTGCTACCATTGTCTTGAACGTAACACTTAATATGCTGACATTTGGTCAAGCATTATATCATCATATCAGCCTTTAACTGTCCACTGCTGAACATAAGCCTCCCCTTGGAGGATTCTGCCTGTAGTTACTACGCTTGGTTAGTTACTGCAGCCCATCTCTCGCCCTAATTAATCATATTAGAAACTAATGCGGCAGGTAGCAAGCCTACCAACATTACACAAATTTATTTGATATGTTAACGAAATTGTCCATCTGAAGAATCACAAAATAATTTTAAATCCTTACTAATATCACATTGTAAGTTATGAAAAGCAGATCTTTATACTGTGAAATTTATTTCTTATTTTGTTTTTTTTTTTTATTTTGTTTGTTTGACAATCACTATGAAATTTGAATGAAAACGTAATCTACTTTTTATCCCAGTCTCACGAATAACAACGCCAGTATTAGACATTTTTAATCGTACGACAACAAAGTGTACGTCACAAAAAGTCGTCAAAACACAATCACTGGCAAGTTGAAGCCGAGAGCCCGCGGCGCCAATTACTGCACAACCATAAACCCGCCTACGATTGTCGCGTGCCATATTTATTTATTTATGTAACGTGCATAAATATGTGCCGGGGCGCGCGTGATCCTCGACTCGCGGTAATTATTGCGTGACTTATTGCCGAAGCAAGATAACACGTACGTCGCGACCGGAATACCGAGACCCCCTAAATTCATACTATTACTGCAATTATATGTGAATGTTTAAATACTCAAGGGGAAGGACGGATCAACTTATTGTGGCGATGACATTCAGCGCACCGAGGGTCGTGGTACAGCTTTATCTCCTCGCTTCACTGTTGATCGTGACTCTCCGACAGAAATTTCGATAATTACACTGATTATGAGAACGAATCGTGCTTTACCGGTTTCTGGAGGTGGGTGCTGAATTAGAAAGGCTCCAATAAAATAACATACCTAGCCGAATAGAATTAAATGTATATTTTTGATTTGAAATACTTCAGATTATTTATCCAATATTCTTAATATTATCTTCGTCTTTCATCACCATCATCATCATAAATAAGCCATTAACTGTCCACTGCTGAATATAGGCCTCCCTTAATTCGGGAGTTTTGCCAGTAGTGCGCCTGTGGTGCGGTTGCCAAGCGTGGCAGGCGGATTGACAACCGCAGTTAATTAAGAGAGACACTGGTGTCCATCCTTCGACCATTAAGTTTTCTTAGTCGCCTCTTATGATACCCATGGGAAAAAAGGATGGCCCATTCTATGCCGGGATCACACAGTGTCTTTGTTTTTATTTATTATAAATTAATGAAATATATAGTATAAGTAAAATTAATATAAATAAAATTAACTAAAAGCATTTCTTAATTATATTGCAAAACATATAAATATCAAACTTATATATATAATAGACACCTATATATTTACAATAATATATATTTCAGTAATAATTTATTAATTGGAAAAATTTAGAAACCCCGTAGAACCCTCTACGGGAATAGCTGCGGTTGTGGCCAAAACCGATAGCAGACGATTTTTTTTGAAGTCGGTTGAAAAATAAATTATTTTTACTGAAAAATAATGTAATTTTTTACTAGTGAAATAATTTATAAAATCGATTTAAATATTTTTGAAATTATTTCTGGATTCAGCATCGACATCAGCTCATTAAGAGTTAATTATTTAAAACATACTGAAACAAGTTTCTGTTGGCCTCATTTTATCCATTTTCAAAAAATGTTGAAACATGTGTCTCCTAGCTTTATACCCAAAATCCTGATGTTTTTTAAATTTCTAAAAAAAGGCTAATAAAATATCAACATTCATTCAACTTCTTTAAAGAAAAAAAATAAAAAATATTCTCTTGTTTCTCGTCTACTGTATATATGTTATTTACTGTGTAATTTTTTTATAACTAATAGTTTCAGTCATCGATGTCCGCCAGTATGCCTAGATTACATCTACCTTACATCTCTACACGACTCATTGTAGTAATTCCCCTCTCAAACCTATGTCAAAACTTGAGTGATTTTTATCAGAAAACCCATGTTTGGGCTGAAAACTTTTTAAGTAATTACATAAATATAATGCGCTCAAAACTTAGTTACAGTAACAATGTTCAGTAACACAAAGTAAATGAAGATACTTAACCTTGTTGCGAAGTTTGATCCAATAAAACAAAGTTTCGAACAAACGAATGCATTAAAGTCACCCGCAAACTGATCCAATCGTAATATCGCACTCCCAGACATCGAAAGTTAGTATGCATTGACTTTGAAAAGTTATCCAAAACTAAGTTGGGTTATGTTTATGAAACTATTCGGATGCGGGTGTGTGCCGCCGATACACATGCAAGAACTCGCGCTCAACTCGAGGCATAGTTCGCTAAGTGGAACAGCTGTAAAACAAAGTAGCGAAGGGTCTAGGAACTTAGTGTGTACGTTGGCAACTATTCGCCGAGAGACGGCGCGAGCCGCCCGAACACATGTCCTCCGATAGGTACGCGGTAGGCGCGTCTCGCGTCACACTCACCGGCTCACCGGCTCACCGGCCGCCGCTCCGCTACTTTGACAGTTTAATTCGAGGCCGCGGCCGCCGACCGCCGACCGCCGACCGGCGACGTTTTATAAATAAGTTTAACTAGGTTTTAACTAAAGTATTGTGGCAGGGTGATAACGAAGCAGCGCCTACGCGCGCCCCCCGCAGCGCGCCCCTCCTCGCCCGCCACCAGATAAACTTTTAAAATGACTTTGGAAGCTTTTGAGCTTTTAATCGGTAAAGTTGTACAGACAGACAGTTCGGGCACAATCCTTGAACCGCTTGCGCCGGCGACGGCGGCCGCAAAACTTTGTTTTACAGGACTACTTTTCTTCTTGTTTCAAGGTTGGACTCTTAAAACAAACTCCAGTTCGACGGAGTTCGCGAACTCGGGCGCCAACAATTTACAAATTTCTCTCTTTCATAACAACTAACTGCCGCTCGGCGCGCCGGCGAAAGTTGTCCTGCGTAGATCTTAATCGCATTGTCTGTTGCGCTCGCGGCGCGAACAGCTGATTATGACGACACAGTTTATCGAACTTTTGCTTTAATTCGTTTACAGTTCACTCGGTATCGTTATCTTTGTACCTATATATTGTTCATATGATGAAAGATATGACAATATGAAATATTCATGGTGTGAATAATAAAAGCAACTTTCGCACTGTATGAAAATTGATAGAGAGTCCAGTGACGAGAGACCCCGCAGACAGACAGCAGGCGCCCTCCGACTCGTTTATTCAATTCGCTTAAGTGACATAGATAGCATCGGCTGCGGCCGAAAAAACTCGTCTGCCAAATTTGACGGCGCGCCCCCGGCGACCGGCGGCGACTTCTTTTTTCAGTTCACGCCTCACCTGCCCGGGGCCAGAAGTGGCCTTGCGTAAAATACACCGATTGGCGTTTAATAAACATTTCCCTTTTATGCTGTTGTAAATTCTTAAATGCTCTTTTCTAAATACCTACAGCTCTTCGGCTATTGACAATAACAAGTTAAATAATATAACGTATCTACCTACGCACACTTCCTTTATAACGTCATGAAGTAGCCGTAAACAAGATTGATTTAAGTTTTTGTTTTAAACAAAGAGTGCCGTTATAGGATGGTGATAAAACACATAGCTCCATTATATACGGTAAAGTGATGGTAACATAAGCTAAATGCAGTATCGGGTATTGCGCGTAAATTTTACGTAACTAGAAATAAATAGGTTGCGGGTGTGTGGGGCGGGGCGGCGTGGGCGGCGGCGTGCGCGCGCACCGCCCCCCGCGCGGCCCCGCCAGCCCCGCAGGCCCCGCCAGCCAGCCCTGTCCGCAACCTCCGCGTAGTCCGCGAATCGCGCCCCGCGAGCCACCCGCACCGCGGCGCTCGCTCCACACTCGCCGCCGCGCCTGCATCGCCTCGTCGACAAACTTTTCCGTAGCGCTACGCCGTACTACGACACCGCGATACGT